GGCCCTATGATCCGTAGCCATGTATGCCGGGATCACTCCTCCGGGGCCCTATGATCCGCACCCGTGTATGCCAGGATCACTCCTCTGGGGCCCTATGATCCATACCCGTATATACCGGGATCACTCCTCTGGGGCCCTATGATCCATACCCGTATATGCCGGGATCACTCCTCTGGGGCCCTATGATCCATACCCATGTATGCCAGGATCAGTCCTCCAGGGCCCTATGATCCGTAGCCGAGTATGTCGGGATCACTCCTCTGGGGCCCTATGATCCATAGCCGTGTATGCCGGGATCACTCCTCCGGGGCCCTATGACCCGTAGCCGTGTATGCCGGGATCACCCCTCCGGGGCCCTATGATCCGTACCCGTGTATGCCGGGATCACTCCTCCTGGGGCCCTATGATCCGTACCCGTGTGTGCCGGGATCACTCCTCCGGGGCCCTATGATCCGAAGCCGTGTATGCCAAGATCACTCCTCCGGGGCCCTATGATCCGAACCCGTAAATGCCGGGATCACTCCTCCAGGGCCCTATGATCCGTAGCCGAGTATGCCGGGATCACTCCTCCGGGGCCCTATGATCCGTAGCCATGTATGCCGGGATCACTCCTCCGGGGCCCTATGATCTGTAGCCGTGTATGCTGGGATCACTCCTCCGGGGCCCTATGATCCGTACCCGTGTATGCTGGGATTACTCCTCCTGGGGCCCTATGATCCGTACCCGTGTGTGCCGGGATCACTCCTCTGGGCCCTATGATCCGTACCCGTGTGTGCCGGGATCACTCCTCCGGGGCCCTATGATCCATAGCCATGTATGCTGGGATCACTCCTCCGGGCCCTATGATCCGCACCTGTATATGCCGGGATCACTCCTCCGGGGCCCTGTGATCCATACCCGTGTATGCCAGGATCACTCCTCCAGGGCCCTATGATCCGTACCCGTATATGCCGGGATCACTCCTCCAGGGCCCTATGATCCGTACCTGTGTATGCCTGGATCCCGCCTCCAGGTGCTCTATGATCCATAGCTGTGTATGCCAGGATCACTCCTCCAGGGGCCCTATGATCCGTAGCCAAGTATGCTGGGATCACTCCTCCGGGGCCCTATGATCTATACCTGTGTATGCCAGGATCCCTCCTCCTCCTGGGGCCCTATGATTTGTACCCATGTATGCCAGGATCACTCCTCCTGGGGCCCTATGATTCGTACCCATGTATGCCAGCATCACTCCTCCTGGGGCCCTATGATCCGTAGCCATGTATGCTGGGATTACCAGACTCAAGGAGAGCACAAGGGAATTCATTGGGGACCAGACCTCTAATTTGTCCCCGAGTTGAAACTTCCCTTTTATTACATAACTTTTAAACATGTACATAAGCCAAACCCCCATCTTGGGAGTCCAAAACCTTCATTATCCCAAATACAACAGGAACACAATAGGCTGCTGACACATTTCAGGGGCCGAATCCCTCTTCATCAGGGCTCAAGGTAGCCGAAATGTCTAATGGACTCCATAAGCTTCTGGACACAAATCTGATGAGTGGAAGTTAAGGAGAGCTTCCATCTGTTCACAAAGAAGTCAAGTCAGCAGCTACAAATGTTGGATAAATGTCCACTTTAATATAGCGATTATGCTGCCCCCCATTGCCAAGTGACCTCAGGCTCCGGTTTATAGAACACAAAAGACACATTGCACTTGCTGTACTATTCATTGATAAGGGCACCCCCAAAGTAGCCAGCCATGTAGTAAAATAACCCCCCACAGGTGCAGGGGCTGCAGGCTTCAGCATGTGTAGGGCAGCCTGAAGCATGTATGCAAGTGGGGCCTTAGATAACCTCTAAGTGACTTGGGTAACTGATGCCATTTAACCACTTCACATCCACATAAACAGCTGGTCAGGAGAGGGTGGCAGTTTATAAACTTCCACCCACTTCCCTGCCTGTGTGCACACCCTGGGAGCATGCAGCACCACAGATTACTGTATGGGCTCTGTGTGAAGTCCCAATCATGTGATCACTGATTGGCCAATCTGTGATCACATGATTAGTGATAAGCAAGATGTCACTTCCTGACATTGCTTACTAGTGAAATCTGAATGATCAGAGATCACATGGTACAGGGCTATTCACAACAGCCTTGTAGCATGTGACAAGCTGCAACCAATCACAGTATTTCTCAATGGCTGCAGGAATGCAGTCAGAAGGAAAAGTGAATGCTTTTACAGCCTTTATGGGTGTAAAAACAATCTGTGTGGGGGTTTTACATCCATTGTATACAACGGTCATGTGACCTGCTGTGATTGGTCACAGCAGGTCACATGGTACCTGCAAAACGGAGCCGGTACTCAGATTGGCCGTGTCCGAGGTACACGCCCGGTGACAGATCGAGCCGCTGCGCCGCTCTGCATTAGCGCAAACGGCGCATGTGCGCCAAATGGCGTGCACCCGGAGTGGAGAAGCAACTTTCAAGCCGCCAAACGGACATTGGCCAGGCGGCAAATGGTTAAAGTGTAAACCCAGTGGACAAAGATCTCAAGTCAACACATTATGATCTTATATATGAAGTCAAGTATAGTTGGGTGTTAAAGTTCATCTTAGGGTGCAATGTTACTAGGCAGCACCCATGATAGCAGGTGCAGGAGGAACCCCCCCAATTTGTTATCACAATTTATTGGCATGTCTGCAGGGCTCCAGCCATGGCGTGCAATCACAAGAATGAATTTGTTAGACAAACTGAATGGACTACAAATTTTCTGATCAGCATACCTGTAGTTCACACCCCCTGAAGTTAAAGATCTGCCTGTATAGAGGCACTGACAGAAAGCTCTAGTTTGTGGAGGAACCTGCATTTGTGATCTACTGATTGCAGGTGCAATGCTCTGCAGGCTTTAATAAATTTACCTGCAAAACTATTTGCATTTTTTCTTCAAACCCCCATTACAATACAGGCTCAACAACACCACCATTTCCTTGTGTGAGACTATTTTGATCTGCCTGTTGAAACATCGGAGATGGTTTGCAGCAGAGGATAGGTAGGGTTTGCCCCCACAGAGTAGTGGTCCCTTACCTGATAGGTCAGCAGAGTGGGCTTTAGCCCCCCTGGTGAGCCCACAGGACCAAAGGAGGAGGTGCTGTCTCCCCCAAGCTGAGGGGAACCCCGAGTGAGGCCACCCTGCAAGGTCGCTGCCTTGGAGGGGTAGCCCCATCCAGGAGGGCTCTACCCCACCAGATGGCCATAGATAAAGTTTAAGGGAGTTGTTCCTGCTAGAGGAAATGCCAATACGGAGCGCCCCCTGTGGAAAGGTTACTTATAGGGGAAGTAAAGTAGACTGGGTGTTTCCTAATGGGAGGAGCCTCATGTGAAGCTGTCATGAAAGATTCAGGAAAGACCATTTTTTGGTCTGCTTGTTGAACCTAGAATCTTTAAACTTCCTATGCCAGTTACAACGTCCCCAGCTACAACCAGCCTCAGCCACAGTGTCCCCAACTACAACCATCCTATGTTATGTGGATGTGCTTTCATAGGCGAAAACTCTGCTCCTCCATACTCTGACCAGCAGTGGGTTGAAAGCCTGGGGAACCTCCACCCATAGTCCATGCAGATGGACGGTCTGCTGTTGTATTCTGGACAGCCAGCACCTGCAGCCCTGGAAACACCTGAGCTGGATGCAGCCATATGGCCGAATTCAGATTTAAAAGTCTAACCACCAATGCAGTCACGTTGAAAAAATAATCACTTTGGTTTGGATGCCTTTTGAGAGGCCTACACTCTTCACTGATGAAACCAGATTCCAGACGGTGCTCAGTGTTTCACAATTTATTTTTTGTTTTTTTTTTACACAGAAACTGACAGACGAACTCTAAGGGGTGACTCTGGGCCCCTTCAGTGATGAAGACAAACCACTGGGTGAGACATTGGGCCCTGCAGTGACAGGAGAAGGGATGACCATGACAAGACTTTACTCCTTGCCAGCGATGTAGACTATGAGGTCCACCACACGGTGGCTGTAACCGCATTCATTGTCATACCTGCAAGAGATGAAAGATTAGATCAGATTGGCCAATACTGCATTTTAGGTGTACTTCTAGAATTTAAAAAAACATGCATCATAGGAAAGTGTCATGTATTTGAGAGATGCAAGGATTAGGTTTAGAATGTTGCCTTGAGTAGCACCAGCAAGATCTAGGAGCAGGGGTGTCAAAATGGCGGCCCTCCAACTGTTGAGAAGCTACAAGCCCCATCATGCTTCTGCCTTTTGGAGTCTTGCTTCTGTCAATCTTGCAATGCCCCATGGGACTTAGTTTGGCAACAGCTGGAGGGCCACCAGTTTGACATCTGTGATCTAGAGTGCTGCAGTTGAAGTGCCCCAAAAGCCATCTAAGAAACCCTCAGACATTACTGCAGGGTTTCTCAGCCAGGGTTCCATGGAACCCTAGGCGACTAGAAGTTCCTTAAGCCGTGGCCAACTTTTGCCTCTCAGAAGTTCATCATTGATCTATGTAGCCATCTGTAATGGGCCCAATTTCCCCCAAAAGACCACAAGGCTAAGATGCATTCTCACTGACCATAAAGCTAATTTATCAAGTTGTAGCTATAGCAGGGGTGGACTGACAACTCATGGGGCCCCCCAGGCAATAGGGGATCATGGGGCCCCTGTGTCCTTGCCTAAAAAAAAAAAAAAAAAAAAAAAAAAAAAAAAAAAAACCCCCACAGGCACCTCATGGGGCCCACTACTGACCCTGGGCCCTCAGGCAGTGCCCAAGTTTCCAAATGGTCAGTCCACCCCTGAGCTATAGTCATTTTTATCAGAGGGTCTTGAGAAAAGGTCAAGGTTTTTCATACTATAGGTTGAGAAAGTCTACATTACTGCAACACTCACCAGGACACAAGTTTCACAAAGTGCTCATTTAGTGAAATGCCAGCGCCAGCATCAAAGATGGAGGAATGGATGTCACCGTTGAAGTCAGATGAGACAACCTGTAAAAGTGTAACCAAGTTAGACACCAGGTGTCTGTAGGAGTTCCATTCTAAATGTGACTAGCGAGAAGCATACCTCCTCATCTGTGTATCCCAGAATTCCCTTCAGTGGTCCCTGAGATGCAGCCTTCACTGCGGCTTTGATGTCATCATATTTGGCCTGAAAACACAAAACACATGTTAGAGGAGGAAGGTGCGCAAGGTTCTATTAGTCTTGCTGGGATCTTTAGTTCTACTTACAGGCTTTTCCAGGCGGCAGGTCAGGTCAACCACAGACACGTTGGGGGTGGGGGACTCTGAAAGCCATGCCGGTGAGTTTTCTGTGGAGGGGAAGACTTCAAGTCAGACTGACTGCAGCAACATTGTTCCATTTTATGTTAATGATTACAGCTTCTCCAATGTAGTGCACTTTGCACTCAGGTCATGTATGGGAGTTAACGAGACCTTTGCTACCATCACGTTTCAGGAGATTCATGGACAAATTTTTGAAGCATTAGTAGCTTAACCTCTTCACGCCGGCCACACAAAACTGTGCAGCCTCCCGGTGTCTGGGCCCAGATGCCGAGCGGCTGCACATTTTTGTGCAATTTAAAAAAAAAAAAAAAAAAAAAGTGTGCTGAGAGCATGCACCCTGCGTCCTCCCAGCACATGGTACTCACGGAAAGGTCCCGATCTCCTCTTGATTGGGACCTTTCCTGATAATGTGACTGCTGTGATGGCAAATCACAGCAGTCACATGATCTTAAGACCCCACCCCCTGGCTTCTGAAATCCTTAATGGGCTGGGAGGCGCCAGGGGGTTAACTGCCTCCCACCCACCATATAAGGGAATGACGGATGGGCAGTGGTTCTCATTCTGGGAGAATGTCATGATGTCCTACCACTGTAAACCATGGCAATTGGTGATGTGCCGTGTCCCTGGGACAGTGTGGATCACCCATCAGCAGAAAGATGCTGATGACTTTGGTTCTGTCATGTGATCAGCCATGTCCAATCACAGCCGATCTCCTGTAAATAAGGAAATGCTGGTTATCAGCATTCCTCTCCTCACTCAAGGAGAGCCAGTAATCAGCATTCCTCAGAGGGGACATCTACACTGATCAGGGCACTGATGATCAGTGCAGCCCCATCTGAGCTGCCCATCAGTGCCATATACAAGTACTGCCTTCGTGCCCATCACTGCAGCCTCAGTGCACATCAGTGGAGAAAAATTACCAATTTACAAAATTTGATAAGAAAAAACCACCTTCAAAATTCAGTTTAGCAAAAAATAAAACCAAGTGGTGATTAAATACCACCAGAAGAAAGCCCAGTCAAAAAAAATAAAAATGTCATATGGGTAACAATGTTGCATGACCATGCAATTGTCACAGTGCAACAGCACTGAAAGTTGAATTAGCTGGGGCAGGAAGGGGGTGAAAGTACCCAGTAGACAAGTGGTTAAACTACATGGGGAAGGGGGGGTATTGCAGCCTAAACCCCTATATAAACCCAACACAAAGTAACTCATCCCAAGATTTCCTCATCTCATGCGGTTAAATGCCCAGTGTCACTCAGTGAGTGCAAGGTGTCACAGTATAACTGGTACTGCCACAGTATCCTGATCCAAGAGGTGTCACCATTACCTTAGAACAGCCCTCTGCATCAGCAAGATTTAAGAGGACTCAGCATGTCATGCAAGCAGCCTGAAGACTTTAAGGCAAGGAAACCTATCCTATGAGACCTATAGAAACCACTGCTCCCCAGTGACTTAAAAGGTTCCACAAAAAAAAAAAAAAAAAAAAAAAAAAAAAAAAAAAAAAAAAAAAAAAGTAGTAATACCTACTTGCTCAATGCCAGCAATGGGCAAACTACGGCCCGCATACGGCCCGGTGGACCTTTTAATCCGGCCCGCGGAGCGTGGCAAACATCGGCTGTCAGAATGTGTGTAGGCGGGGCAGCGTGAGGGGAGCTAGGCTCCTCACAGTCCGCCCTGAAGACCGGAACGGCGCGGGAACACGGCGAGGGAACACGGCGAGAGGAACGCGCAGAGCAAAGGCAAGTGAATTGACACAGGGGGGACTTGGGGACTTAATATGGGGAATGAATTACTATAGGGGGATGAATTACTATGCTTACTATGGGGGAATATTACTATACTTACTATGGAGGACACATACACATCATTCATCTACTCTTGGTCCAGCCCCTGGGTCCAATATATGAACCCATTGCGGCCCTCAAGTCAAAACGTTTGCCCACCCCTGCTCTATGCAGATGTTTCACACTGAGCAGCCCCAATCCTCCCTAGGTTCCCTGCTGATGCTTCTGGCTCCTCCCCCTTGAGTGCCCCCAATAGCAAGCTGCTAACAATGGGGCACTGGTGCATGGTTGCTCTTGAGCCCGACTCTACATCCATAAGACAGCTGCTCAGCCCTGCCTCTGCCCTCTCCGTTGGCTCACTGGCTGATTGACAGCAGTGGAAGCCAATGGCTCCTGCCAATGAGGTGAGGGAGCTCAGGTGAGTGTTGGGGGCTGAGCAGCACAGGTTTTACCTTCATGCATAGGAGGTAAAAGTTTTGCCTTTAGAACCACTTTAAGCTTTGATACCTACCTAAATTAGGACCTTAGTTACACTTAGTAACCCTACTCGTTTTAAGGTTCCATTTAGTGCCAGGTAACTAGCATTTGTCACCAATAGTTCTGCTTCTGTAGCCTATGCAGCAACCTGAGATTGTAGACTGTAGAGCATGCCACACAGAACATGGCAAAGACAGCTCTGGGTATGGTATGTAGAACAAGCAAGTCCTTTGAGTACAGCAATAGGACAGATCTAGCATGTCAATGCTATAATGGAGAGTAATACAGGCCATACATGGGTCAAATTCTAAATTATTTTTTGTCTGAAAATTGATAGGTTTGCTTGGTAATCCAATGGTGCCATTAAAAAAAAAAAAAAAAAAAACGAACGATTTGGCTGAGTTGAAAATCTGTTTCATGAATTTTCCCAATATGCTTGCTCACCAAAAAGGGGAGGAACCTTGAAAATAAGCTGGTGCCATTGACCCACTAAGAGCAAAGAGCAAAAATCGGCTGATTCTTAGGTCTGGTTTTCAGACAAAAAAGGCCAAATTTTGACCCATGTATGGCTGGCATAAGGCAATAGAACAGCTTTTGAAAGTTGGAGTACCAATAGTAGTATTTGCAGGCTTTTGTTTCAGAAACAGATTTACATCCCTTTGCAGAGTGACTGACATACCCGTTCAGCTGAGGGATGACTTTGCCGACAGCCTTGGCAGCACACCAGTGGATGCTGGGATGATGTTCTGTCCAGCACCTCTGCCATCACGCCACAGTTTGCCAGATGGTCCGTCCACACACTTCTGTGTAGCGGTGTAAGCATGGACAGTGGTCTGGAAAGACAAGACGGCAAGTTGAGGCTTACCTTCCAACAGAGGATAAATCCAGGAGGTACGTTTCATAAACCGACTTACCATCAACGCCTCCACAATTCCAAAGTTGTCATTGATGACCTTTGCAAGAGGAGCCAGGCAGTTGGTGGTACAGGAGGCATTGCTGCAGGAGAGTGGAGTACAAAATTAGTCCAGCCAACCAATGCACATTAGGTTTTGAACAACTTGGGGCTGGCAATAGATGTGAACTAAAGATTCCCTTAATCTGACTTGTCAAGCAAAGGTAACCAGTGATGGCCCAGATGGATTGGCCACTGGGCCCAAGCACTGACAGGTCAGGTACTCCCATTACCCAACAGCACCAATTATTTTGCACTGGGGAAGGGGGGGGGACCAAGAATAAGGTGGTCATAAATGGCTTTACACATCCTGTCACTTTGCCCCAACAACTGGGAAAGCCAACATACCCAAGGCTATGGCTACAGGAAGTTACCTGATAACTTTGTTTGTCTTGTCATAGCTTTCATGGTTGACACCAACGACATACATGGGGGCATCAGCAGAAGGTGCAGAGATGATAACACGCTTGGCACCTCCCTTCAAGTGAGCCTAATAAGGAAAGAAAACAGTCTTAAAAGCAGTCCTTCAAGTCAACTAACCACTACCATGACATGGAGAGGAAGACCAGACACTAGAGTCAAAGCTTAACATGAAGACCTGTTCAGTGCAAAGGGACAAGGTCATCCCAACCACCATATACTCCTTCACAGCAGAGGGACAAGGCCATCCCAACCACCATATATTCTCCTTCACAGCAGAGGGACAGGGCCATCCCAACCACCATACTCCCCATCACAGCAGGAAAACCTGCTGCTGCAATACCAACACTTTGAATTGGGCAGCACCACCTCTAAGTGTTTAGGCCTAGTCAAATCTCTAGGCCAGAAGATATGGGAGCGGATCCCAAAAAGTGGATATTTTTAAAGTGGGAACTGAAGTTCTGTTTAAGAAACTGCAAATGGGTAGGCTTTTATTGCAGACTAGACCTTGTATAGTGTTCCCACAAGTGACCCCTACCTGCCTAGTCTTCACCAGTGCTGTATACTGAGCTGTGCATGTGACTGGTCTGAGTGTCAGGAAGACTACCCTGCACTTGGTCTTCAGGACTGGGAATGGAGTCACTGCAGCACATCAGAAAGATTCCAGAACAGGACTGTTGGACCAGGCACACATTAATCCTTTTGTTCCCATTAGAAGGCAGCTGTGATGTTGAAGAGCAGGGGAGCACAAGAGGGGAGGCTTAAAAAACCCAAACAGTCTTTGAATGGCCAAGTATTTTTTTTTTTTTGAATTCCATTGAGCAATCCCACAGGGCCAACAAGCATTTAACAGCTGAATAAATAAAAGTGAAACCTGTTCTGTAGCAGGGATGTGTTGCTGGGAGTTGAGCATGTCTAATGCCAAGCTAGGCAATGGTGTCAGACATCCCCATACTGTTTCATTACAATCCCCTCTAGGCATCTAAAAATGCAGCCATGCACAATTAAATTAAAAGTGATAACAGGGGTGGACTGACCATTTGGAAACTCAGGCACTGCCCAAGGGCCTGGGGTCAGTAGGGGGCCCCATGAGATGCCCCTGGTACCTTTTTCATAGGCTTTTTTGAGTTTGGGCAAGGACACAAAGGCCCCATGATCCCCTATTGCCCAGGGGCCCCATGAGTGATAATGAGCCATGCATGGCACCATTTGACTTTGCCAGGCAGGTGCTGGCTTGGGTGACTACAAAGATCTCCTGACCACCACTTTTCAGGCACATTCTGGGTGAAATGTTTCCTCCCCTTCCCAAATTTCCAGGCATTCTGAACTTAGTACCCAGGTGACAACACAAGGTAAATTCTCAGTGCAGAATGGCCTGACACTTCCAAGTTACTTACAGAGGCCTTCTCGATGGTTGTGAACACACCGGTAGATTCCACAACGTAGTCGGCACCAGCCTCTCCCCATTTGATTGCAGCTGGGTCCCGTCTAGAAGGAAAGAACCACCTTAGAAACTGCAACAGTTTTTGCAAGCCAACTTATTAACAGGGAACCTAAAATGTTCTAGAGCTATACATTTTAGAGCTTTGCCTTCCTCTGGATCAACTGTTGGTATAGGATTGTATTTTTCCTTTATTAGTTGAACTAGATGGACTTTGGATGGATTAGAATCATCTAAGAATGGGGAAAGTTAGTTTGAAAAGAGAAAAAGTATGGGAAAGCTCTAGGCAGTCTGATCTGTCAGCAGTGTGTTTCTAAGCCATCTCAAAACCCAACAAGGCTTTCCTTGACCGAGCTTGGCCTGTCATCTCTAGTTTTAGTTAACATTGTGCTGAGAAAAACTAAATTTTGAAATATGTCTACAGGAAGCCAGAAGTTTGAGCCTTCTGCCCATTAGAAAGGATCAGCATTTCTAGAGCTCATCTGCACAGCAAAATGTTAGTACATTAGAGCCAACAATGCCACTACTACAAGTTGGTCATCCAGGTTTTCCTACACAGCATTTCTAGATTTTGCTTTCATGAAAAGTAGGATAATTGCAGAAGATTATGATCCTACCAGAAATTAGAAGAGCTTTGTTGACTTGTTCTTCCAGTTCTGCAAGCTAAAAAAAAAAAAAAAAAACCCTACCTTGCCCAATGCTAAACAGATGGTTGGGTGTGCCCTGTATTTCTATAGCCTCAGGTGTGCTAAGAATTTTGCTAGGCAATCCTAGAGCAAGAAAATGCAAAAAGCCTTGTTCCCTATGGTGTCACGTTCACACCAAGGCACCACAGTGGTGTGCACTGAAATGTACTGCAAGTGATTTTCAATGCAGCAGGTTGCAAACTACTGCATTGCTGTTGTGCTAAAAGAAATTTACAAATTACTGACATTTCAATACAATAGTCTGCTGGAATGGTCTGACGTGAATGAACCCAACACTACCTGTCTTAAGGTGACAACACTGCTCCATAAATACAGTAAAGCAAGCTGTCCTCCCAGGACAGAAGTATTGCTGGAACAATCATTTGGTAAAAACAGATGCAGCCACCAGAGCCAAGCTGCCATGTTCCATTTTGTACTTTGAGGTGATGGGGAAATTACATATTTCCTTAATATGGTGGCTCACTGTTTAAGAAGGCCTCCGAGCCCTGGCTACGGGGGGCCCATACGAAGGCCTCCGAGCCCTGGCTACGGGGGGCCCATACGAAGGCCTCCGAGCCCTGGCTACGGGGGGCCCATACGAAGGCCTCCGAGCCCTGGCTACGGGGGGCCCATACGAAGGCCTCCGAGCCCTGGCTACGGGGGGCCATACGAAGGCCTCCGAGCCCTGGCTACGGGGGGCCCATACGAAGGCCTCCGAGCCCTGGCTACGGGGGGCCCATACGAAGGCCTCCGAGCCCTGGCTACGGGGGGCCCATACGAAGGCCTCCGAGCCCTGGCTACGGGGGGCCCATACGAAGGCCTCCGAGCCCTGGCTACGGGGGGCCCATACGAAGGCCTCCGAGCCCTGGCTACGGGGGCCCATACGAAGGCCTCCGAGCCCTGGCTACGGGGGGCCCATACGAAGGCCTCCGAGCCCTGGCTACGGGGGGCCCATACGAAGGCCTCCGAGCCCTGGCTACGGGGGGCCCATACGAAGGCCTCCGAGCCCTGGCTACGGGGGGCCCATACGAAGGCCTCCGAGCCCTGGCTACGGGGGGCCCATACGAAGGCCTCCGAGCCCTGGCTACGGGGGGCCCATACGAAGGCCTCCGAGCCCTGGCTACGGGGGGCCCATACGAAGGCCTCCGAGCCCTGGCTACGGGGGGCCCATACGAAGGCCTCCGAGCCCTGGCTACGGGGGGCCCATACGAAGGCCTCCGAGCCCTGGCTACGGGGGGCCCATACGAAGGCCTCCGAGCCCTGGCTACGGGGGGCCCATACGAAGGCCTCCGAGCCCTGGCTACGGGGGGCCCATACGAAGGCCTCCGAGCCCTGGCTACGGGGGGCCCATACGAAGGCCTCCGAGCCCTGGCTACGGGGGGCCCATACGAAGGCCTCCGAGCCCTGGCTACGGGGGGCCCATACGAAGGCCTCCGAGCCCTGGCTACGGGGGGCCCATACGAAGGCCTCCGAGCCCTGGCTACGGGGGGCCCATACGAAGGCCTCCGAGCCCTGGCTACGGGGGGCCCATACGAAGGCCTCCGAGCCCTGGCTACGGGGGGCCATACGAAGGCCTCCGAGCCCTGGCTACGGGGGGCCCATACGAAGGCCTCCGAGCCCTGGCTACGGGGGGCCCATACGAAGGCCTCCGAGCCCTGGCTACGGGGGGCCCATACGAAGGCCTCCGAGCCCTGGCTACGGGGGCCCATACGAAGGCCTCCGAGCCCTGGCTACGGGGGCCCATACGAAGGCCGGTTACTACAGCATACTTCATACTAAAGCAATGTCATCACAAACTGACCAAAGCCTTAAAAAAAAAAAAAAAAAGTAAAGCTTGCAAGGGGAGTTGACCCATTCAAGTCCTGTATTACCACAGCCGAGGCTTGCAACCATTCAAGTGTCTGATTGCCTGTGTCACACTGAAAGCAGCCATGGCAAAACAGCATCTATAGTTGCGTATTGTTATATTTTTTCTAGTATCTGTCCTTTTATTAAAATTTTATACTTATCGAATACAACCCCAAAAATGTAAAGAGATCACACAAACACTTAAGTTTATAGATGAAATAAGATGCACTTAAAACCAGCTGCACCCAGTTTGAGGAATTTAAAGCCATCTCAACTTACTCCTGAGACACGGTGATGGCCTTGCCATTGATGATCAGCTTGCTGCCTTCACTCTTCACATCTCCCTTGAAGCGTCCATGAGTGGAGTCATACTTGAACATGTAAACCTAGAAAGAATCAAATGTGTTCAATCATCCCATAGCCACCAAAACTAAAAATTAGCTACACTACAAACCAACTGTGTGGGGGGGGGGGGGGGAAGTCAAACAATGGCAGACCCCAAAACAGAAGGATCATGGGATAAGAGGTTGCATTGATTAAAGCCAATGTTGAAAAGACTTAGTCTATGCTAGCCAGTATGACTGCATGATCTGTGCTGCAAGAACTGGCCAGAAAATCCAACATCGCCAGAAGTGGCACATGTCTTGCCCCCAGCTGTGTGATTATCCACTAGGTACACATGTCCTATGCTGACAAGTGGTGCAAACCCCAGTACTCAGCAGGGGACCATGTAGTAAAACTACCAGGAAGTCTAGAATGCCAAGATTCTTTAGTCAGCACATGTTGAAGATAGGAAAGTACTGAATCACTTCAAGGTTTCTTTACTAGTCTCCTAAAGGAAACCACTAGTCATGCCCCCTAACAATGTGCCAATATGCATGTTTGCACACTTTCTCTGCAAAGCACCCACCATCCTGCTGTGCCATGTCTGCTTACCCCCACACTCCCCTTGCTGCTGCATCACTGCTGCTTCCATTAATTGGTCTCAAGTTTTGTGTCACAACAGAATGGGCCCCAAATCTACCCACTCTCTAGTCTATGAGCGGGACCTTTAACTTGCATAGACGATACCAGGATCATTCCCAATTATGCAAGAGATGCCAGATAGACCACTTAAGATACCTAGACTACAAACAAGACAGGCTGTTTAGGATAAGGAAGCTAATCAATGTTCTTCCCCCACAGACAAGACAAATGTTCACCTACCATGTAACCAACGTCAATGAAGGGGTCATTGATGTGTGCAACCTCGACCTTTCCAGACTGAATAGCAGCACGGGTCACCAGACGCCCGATACGGCCAAATCTAGAAGAGAGAAAGACATAAGAAAACCTTGCATCCTGCAGAATGAATGTACAAAAAAAATTGTGGTCAACTTCATAGGATAGTAAAGGTCACCAAGCTTGGTGACTTAGGCCTCCCCCCCTGACCCATGTCCTGTCCCCCCCTCCCTCGATATGCTGCAGTGGGCCCAGCGGCACCAGTAAAAAAGGTATGAATAGAATTACCCACAGAAGGACCATGTGCCTAGTGTACACTGCCTTCTTGAACATCCTCTGCAACCCAGACAAGTCCAACATGAGTGGTGCTTAATGGGATGCTCAACAGAAACCTGCTCAGACCTTTGAAGGACCATTTGCCTGTTCTGAAACATGGGAATGCTCAACCAGATTGCAGAGCAAGCCATGACTGGGAAAGGTTAGCTTCCAAGAAAGTGCAGATGACTACAATCCCACAGCCAAGCAGGACCAGGTCTATAACATGACAGTGTAGAAGCCCCATTGCAGGAAGTCAAGGATAGAATGTTGTGCATACACCTCAAGAGAAGCCATGCCTTTGGCAGGCACTTTCAGATACAGCAGGTGCCACGAATTGTGCTTGTGTGTGCAGAGGGTTTACTCAGGAGAAAGCTTTGGCAAATTGTGCTGCAAGGACATAATACACCCAGCTGTAGACCTGGACAGAGGTCTAAAGAGTCATGAACATGCAGACCTTTCCTACCAAACTGACCAAAGTGTCACCAACAGCCTACACAGGGGCATGGACAGCACCACACACAAGTACCTTGAAGTACTGGTTATACAATGGCAAGCAATAAGGAGTGAAAGAAATAAATTGTGATGGCAGTAATGGCAGTAATGCCAGTTGTGGGGGTTTAATCAAACTGGTTGTCCTTAATTGGACCTTTACATATTGCTACTACAAGCCTAGCCTCTATTTTTTTTTGCCACTTTAGAAAATACTGAGCTACTCATGAGGCTCCCTATGAGCTGAAACAGACAATGTTATCCACCATCTGATCTTTAAAACTCCTTCTGCACTGAAGACAGGGATAATAAGCATTTGTAGTCCAAATTAGAAGGAGCAGGAAAGAAGGACTCTGTCCCTCCATAGAAGCCTACAATGAGCATTACCCCACAACATGCATGTTATTGGCAGGATCACCAGATAAGGATAAAACTCATTAAAGGGGCCAGGATAAAAAAAACTCATTAATGGGGCCACCACATTTAAGGACTGGTAATATTCTGCTTTAGATACCATGGAACTCTACTACAGGCAGGGTGATAGGTGGCTTTGCAGTGCTTTCTGTACACCAAGCCTGGAGGCCAGTCATGGGATCTCAGTATGCACATGTAGAGGGGAAGAGTGGATTCATTAAGGTCAAAGGGGACAAAAATGGGTGTTTTTTTCCTCTTTTTAGACAAGTTGTTCCCTTGTATGGACAATATAGCACTCTAGATAAAGGGGAGAGAGAAAGCACTGTGCAATACTTTTATATGAATGTGATCAGTGAATTAAAAAGCTATGAGTCTAGGCGACGCTAGCCTTTGATAGGTTATATCTAAGCAACTTTGTTAGACCACATTTCATTTATAGATCTAGGCAACTTCTGATTAGATGAGGACCACTGATTTTATTAGGTCTATGTGACCCGAATAGAAGGTGACAACAAATATTAGGTGATTGGATTTAGGAGAGGACCTCCGATAGTTTTAGTGGCTAAAGGTAATGTCCAATTAGGTGAGGACCACTGATTTTATTAGGTCTAGGTGACAACCAATATTAGGAGATTGGATTTAGGGAAGGACCTCATATTTTTAGTGGCTAAAGGTGATGGACATGAGATATTTTTAGTGGATCTAGGTGACATCCGATCAGGTGAGGATCGGATTTTATTAGGGCTAGGTGACCTCTGGAAGGTGATAACCTGATATTTTATTAGATCTAGATAACCATTAGAAGGCAAGGATCACTGATATTAGTAGATCTTAGGTGACCTCAGATTTAGAAGGCAAGGCCCTCATTTTATTAGTGGATCTAGGTGACCTGATTAAAGGGAGGACCTTTAATATTCTGTTTGGTCTAGGTGACCTTTGATTAGAGGATCACCTTCATGTGATTAGTCACCAGTTTCAAGAGAAAGCTTTGAAATTGGATTCTAATACTTTCTACACTTCAGTGACCTTTGCCTTCAGATCCAAGTGCTTAGTCAGCATGCAGCCAGGATGAATAGACCTCATGGCCAGTTGCACAAGCTTTCCCAGACACCCAAAAACATGTTATTTCAGCCTGACAAGCCTCAAGTCCGAGTGCAATGCCCTGCAGGCCTAACGTATAAAGGAAAAAAAAAAAAAATCTGGAGGGAACACCTCCTGGCGAAGGCAAAGTTCACCAGCTGAGTGTGCAAAATGCGGACAAACAGGAAAAGTGCGCCACGGCTTGGAGGAACAAACAAAGCTGGCCAGTCTCTAGGATCCGGTGTCAAGCCATTGGCAAGCAGTGGAAGAGAAAGAATGATCGCCAAATTACACACCCCAGTAACTAGGAGAAGAAACTACTCCCCTCCCCCCTCCTGCTCTTTCCCAAGCCAGGCAGCTGGCGTTGGGCTATAAATAGGAGACCTACTTTACATTGATGGAAAGGGCAGGAGATAGAGGACACTGTGCTCTTGAAAGGATGTCATTTTACATGTTAGTACCAGAGTAACGATCCTTTGCAGATGATACTTTCCAGAGCATTGCACCTAGATGTCTAGGGACCCTCCCCTGGAGCATGTACGTGCAGATAGACCACGAGAGGCGGACGTGAGTCAGCTCCAACCTCCCTTGTTCAAGTGAGTGATTCAGTAACTGAAAGGAGGAGGTGAAAAAAAAATTCTTACAGCTTGCCCCCCTCCCCCACAGCTGACACACCCCTACATGGTGCAGGTATGATGCAAACCAGCAGAAGGACCACATAGCCCTCCCAAGACATGGATGTCCTGGATGAGACTGCGACCTTGAGGAGCCCTTGAGGCTATGGGAGGGGGTTGACTGCACATCCACCATTCTGCAAAGCAACAGAGGGAGGTGCAAGAGGAAACTGCAGAGAATGTAGAAGGGGGTGTGACTCACAGCGATGTGACTACATTCTATGGCGAGGCCGTTAATTAGAAGCTGCCATCGTTGAGATATTACAAATGAATGGTGGACCATTCGCCCATGGGACAGTTGGGCAAACATGACGTTACATGTTCAAATCCCTGGTGGGGGTAGACTACATCTGAATGAGGAAACCATGTAGCATCCATTACACGGCTCAGGGAGGCAATGAGGAGCAGCCATCTTTGAGATCTTACAAAGGCAAGGTGGACCGCTACCCTGAGCATCAGTTGGGCAAGTGTGACGCAAGCTTGAATCCACCAGTGAGGCAAGATTCATGTGCAGAAGGAAGCCATGTAGAGTCTTTGGCAAGGCTGCTGCAAGGAACAATGAGGAGCAGCCATCTTTGATATCTTATAAATGCAAGTAAACCTAAGGGCCAGTCAGGCAAACATGAGGTTGTAGGTTCAAATCCCCAGATGGGCAGGTTACACATGAAGTGCCAAGAAGAGCAGATACCTACAACCATCGCCATTATGCATCAAGTCATCCATGCAACACATTAACCCTTCAATCCTATAGATTGAAATCCTTCAACCCCATTAGACATTTAACCCTTCAGACCAATGCCCCCTCAACCCCAGTAGACATTTAACCCTTCAGACCAATGCCCCCCTCAACCCCTCGAAACATTTAACCCTTCAGACCAATGCCCCCCTCAACCCCTCGAAACATTTAACCCTTCAGACCAATGCCCCCCTCAACCCCAAGAGACATTTAACCCTTCAGACCAATGCCCCCTCAACCCCATGAGACATTTAACCCTTCAGACCAATGCCCCCTCAACCCCATGAGACATTTAACCCTTCAGACCCCAGCCCCATTAGACATTTAACCCTTCAGACCCCAGCCCCCCCAACCCATTAGACATTAACCCTTCAATCCCATTGGACATCAACTCTTCAGACCTCAACCCTACAATCCCATTGGAAGTTAACCCTTCAAAGCCAAACTTACAACCTATTGGACATTAATCCTTCAGACCCCAGCCAGTCAAGCCTATTATATATTAATCTTAGGACCCCAACCCTTCAAACATGGACCATGTCCACATTGCAAGCAGATACAGGAAATAAAACCCCTTACTAAATCATGTTAGCCAAAACTAGATTTTATTTTCTCATTTGCAAGTTACAGAGGGATCAGCAGCAATTGTGTAGAACCTCACCCCATTCATACAGGTGATAACACCATGGGGGAGGGGTAGTCTTGGCATAGGGCCAGCAGCTACCCATGGCGGCCAGCAGCTACCCATGGCAGCCAACATCTCTATAGGGCAAGGAGAGACTTGCCCTGGGCTACTACAGAGGATCAGCCCCATTACATATACATCCATGGCAGACTGCTACAGGGGAATAAGCCTTTACACATCACCAAACTTACCCATTGATACCAATCTTCACCATGGTGTTAGTTGCCTGTAGTTTCTGCTTAAAAAAAAAAAAAAAAAATCCATTAATAGAGATTTGATTTTACACCTAAATACAGCTACCAGCCCCCACCAAGGAAGCCTGGCTGCACACAGACATATAGGCAGTGCCACAGGTAGTACAGCCGGCACCCAGCTTTACCCTGAGCCAACTGCGCACGCAACTCACCTGCCTCTCACACTGTCCTGCTGCAGAGTGCGCTGAGCACGCCGGAGCCGCCCTATATACAGCGCCGACCGCTCACCCCGCCTACCAGCAGCCTCCCGCCAATCAGCGAACGCAGAGTCAGACTGTCACTTCTCAGCGCTGACATCTCCAACCAGGACTACGTGCTACCGTAACACTGAGAATAGAGGTGCACTCCTCCCCCTTCTCTGTACACAGTCCCCCCATCATTAATGACCGTATTTACCGGTGTGATGCGGGGTGTGAGGAGTCTGTGCTGAGTGAACATGTGACTCCGACTGTCCTATCACCCCTTAATACCCCTCTACACCCCATAATACCCCTCTACACCTTCCAATACACCCCATAATACCCCCTACACCCCATAATACCCTCCTATACCTTCCAATACACCCCATAATACCCCCTACATCCCATAATACCCCTCTACACCCCATAATACCCCTCTACACCCTTCCAATACACCCCATAATACCCCTCTACACCTTCCAATACACCCCCATAATACCCCCTACAAACCCCATAATACCCTCCTATGCCTTCCAATACACCCCATAATACCCCCCTACACCCCATAATACCCCCCTACACCCCATAATACCCCTCTACACCCCATAATACCCCCTTCTCCTTTCAATGCACCCCATAATACTCCTCTACACCCCATAATACCCCCCTACACCTTCCAATACACCCCATAATACTCCTCTACACACCCCATAATACCCCCCTACACCTTCCAATACACCCCATAATACCCCCCCACGCCTTCCAATACACCCCATAATACCCCTCTACACCCCATAATATCCCCTGCACCTTCCAATACACCCCATAATATTCCTCTACACCCCCATAATATACCCTACACCTTCCAATACACCCCATAATACCCCCCCTACACCTTCCAACAATACACCCCATAATACCCCTCTACACCCCCCATAATACCCCCCTACAGTTGCAAGAAAAAGTATGTGAACCCCTTGGGATTACGTGGAGTTTTGCATGAATTGGGCATAAAATGTGCTCTGAATGTCATCTAAGTCACAACAATAGAAGAAACACAGTCTGCTGAACATAATACTACACAAACACATTAGATGTTGCCATGGTTTAATTGCACATAACATGTAAACATTCACAGTGCAGGGAGGAAAAAGTATGTGAACCTTTGGACTTAATAACTGGTTGACCCTCCTTTGGCAGCAATAACCTCAACCAAACGTTTCCTGTAGTTGCAGATCAGACCTACACAACGATCTGGAGTCATTTTGGACCACTCCTCTTCACAAAACTGTTTCAGTGTAGCAATATTCTTGGGATGTCTGGTGTGAATCGCTCTCTTAAGGTCATGCCACAGCATTTCAATCGGGGTTGAGGTCAGGACTCTGACTGGGCCACTCCAGAAGGCGTATTCTGTGCTGTTCCAGCCATTGTTTTGTTGAATTACTTGTATGCTTTGGGTCATTTGTCCTGTTGCATCACCCATCCTCTGCGGAGCTTCAGTTGGCGGACAGATGGTCGTACGTTTTCCTGCAAAATGTCTTGATAAACTCTGGAATTCATTTTCCCATCAATGACAACAATCCATCCAGGCCCTGAGGCAGCAAAGCAGCCCCAAGCCATGATGCTCCCTCCGCCATGTCTCACAGTGGGGATGAGGTTTTGATGTTGGTGTGCTGTGCCTTTTTTTCTCCACACATAGTGTTGTGTGTTCTTCCCAAACAACTCAATCTTGGTTTCATCTGTCCACAGTATATTTTGCCAGTAGTGCTGTGGAACATCCAGGTGCTCTTTTGCAAACTTCAAACGTCCTGCAATATTCTTTTTGGACAGCAATGGCTTCCTCCGTGGTGTCCTCCCATGTACTCCATTCTTGTTTAATGTTTTCCTTATTGTAGATGTGTCAACAAAAATGTTAGCATGTGCCAGAGATTTCTGTAGGTCTTTAGCTGACACTCTGGGATTCTTCTTTACCTCATGCAGCATTCTGCGCTGTGCTCTTGCAGTCATTTTTACAGGACGACCACGCCTAGGGAGAGTAGCAACAGTGCTAAACTTTCTCCATTTGTAGACAGTCTGTTTTACCGTGGACACATGAACCTCAAGGCTTTTGGAGATACTTTTGTAACCCTTTCCAGCTTCATGCAAGTCAACAATTCTTGATCGTAGGTCTTCTGAGAGCTCTTTTCTGCGAGGCATGGTTCACATCAGACAGTGCTTCTTGAAACCAGTAAACCCAAAACAGGTGTGTGTTTTTTAAGGGCAGGACAGCTGTCAGCAACACATCCAATATCATCACACTGATTGGAATCAAGGTTGGCTCACTCCTGGCTCCAATTAGCTCTGGGAGAAGTAATTAAGCTAGGGCTCACATACTTTTTCCTCCCTGCACTGTGAATGTTTACATGTTATGTGCAATTAAACCATGGCAACATCTAATGTTTGTGTAGTATTATGTTCAGCAGACTGTGTTCTTCTATTGTTGTGACTTAGATGACGTTCAGAGCACACATTTTATGCCCAATTCATGCAAAACTCCACGTAATCCCAAGGGTTTCACATACTTTTTTCTTGCAACTGTACACCTTCCAATACACCCCATTATACCCCTCTACACCCCATAATACCCCTCTACACCTTCCAATACACCCCATAATACCCACTACACCTTCCAATACACCCCATAATACTCCTCTACACCCCATAATATCCCCTACACCTTCCAATACACCCCATAATATCCCCTACACCTTCCAATACACCCCATGATACCCCCTACACCCCATAATACCCCCCTACGCCTTCCAATACACCCCATAAATACCCCCCTACGCCTTCCAATACACCCCATAATACTCCTCTACACCCCATAATATCCCCCCCACACCTTCCAATACACCCCATAATACCCCTCTACACCCCATAATATCCCCTACACCTTCCAATACACCCCATAATACCCCTCTACACCCCATAATATCCCTACACCTTCCAATACACCCCATAATACCCCTCTACACCCCATAATATCCCCTACACCTTCCAATACACCCCATAATACACCCTACACCCCATAATATCCCCTACACCTTTCAATACACCCCATAATACCCCTCTACACCCCATAATATCCCCTACACCTTCCAATACACCCCATAATATTCCTCTGCATCCCATAATACCCCCCTACACCTTCTCATATACCCCATAATACCCCTCTACTACACCCCATAATATACCCTACACATTCCAATACACCCCATAATACCCCTCTACACCCCATAATACCCCATACACCCCATAATTCCCCCCTACACCTTTTAATACACCCCATAATACCCCTCTACTTCTTCCAATACACCCCATAATACCCCTATACACCCCATAATACCCCCCTACACCTCCCCATACACCCCAAATACCCTCCAATACCCCATACACCCTGCAATACAACCCATAATACTCCCTACACCTTCCAATACCCCCAGATACCCTCCAATACCCCATACACCTTGCAATACACCCCAAATACCCCCCTACATCCTGCAATACCCCATACACCCTGAAATACATCCCAAATACCCCCTACATCCCCCAATACCCCCCAAATACCCACTTACACCCTCCAATACCCTCCAATACCCCATACACCCTGCAATACATCACATAATACCCACCTACATCCTCCAATACCCCCCAAATACCCTCCAATACCCCATACACCCAGCAATGCACCCCAAATACCCCTACATCCCCCAATACCCCCTACATGTTCAAATACCCTCCAATATCAAATACACCCCAAATACCCCCCTACATCCTCCAATACCCCCTTACACCCTCCAATACCCCCTACACCCTCCAATACCCCCCTACACCTTCCAATACCCCCTGATATACACATAAATATCCCATACACCCTGCAATACACTCTGAATACCCCACTACAACCCTCCAATACCCCCTCAAATACCCTCCAATATCCCATACACCCTCCAATACACCCTGAATACCCCACTATACATTCCAATACCCCCTTACACTTTCCAATATCCCCCAACTACCTCCTACACCCTCCAGAACCCCCTACACCTTCCAATACTGCCCCCCAAATACCCCATACACCCTGTGATGTACCCCAAATACCCCCTTGCACCCTCCAATCCCCCCAAATAACCCTCTACACCCTCCAATACCCCCTACACCCCTCCAATACCCTCCAACTACCCCCCTTACACCCTCCTATCCCCCATACACCCCCCAAATACTCCACTACACCCTCCAATACCACCAAACACCCTTCAATCCCCCCATACACCCATTAATACTCCTTACACCCCCAAATAACCCCTCCCCCAGTACTCCCTAATACCTCCTCCTACAACCCCCTGTCCTGGGTGTCACCTGCCTCCATCATTACATGACATCATCCCATCACCCCCATCCTCCATTCTTCCTTCTCCATTTCCAACATGGGGGTGATGGTGTATTATGTCACAAGAACCATACATCCTCCATGTTGCTTTCTCTGACATCCAGTCCACCCCTTTCCTTCAGACCATTCATTTTACCTTGTCCTCTCCGCCCCGGGTGCAGAGAAGCAAGGGGGCAAATATTGGATGCAGGGTGGTACACCCAATCTACAGCATGCATTACCAGTATGGGGGGGGGGGGGGGGGGATTATGGATCCCTGCCCTGGGTACTGGATGACCCTGTCCTGGCACTGCCCCTTACATCCTCCATGTTGCCTCATCTCACCTTTTCCTAATAGCCCCTCACATCCACTATGTTGCCCTCTCTGACATCCAATCCCCCCCATCCTCAGACCCCCTCACATCCGCCATGTTGCTCTCTTTGCTATTGACCCCCCCCCACCCCTAACATCCTTCATGTTTGTGTTTCTGACATCCAATCCACCCCCCTCCCTTCGCTTAGACCCCTCACATCCTCCATGCTGCCTTCTCTAACAACCAACATCCTCTTCTTCCTTCAGACCATTGACATACTCCATGTTGCCCTCTTTGACATCCAGCCC